AAAAAGTAAAATAAAATAACAACAAAAAAGTGTTGCGAAAAAAAGAGCAGAAGTAAATAAAATAACAGTAGGGAAGCTATATATACAGGGGGGTACCGGTGCAGAGTCAATGTGCGGGGGCACCGGCTAGTTCAGGTAGTTGAAGTAATATGTACATGTGGGTAGAGTTAAAGTGACTATGCATAAATAATTAACAGAGTAGCAGCAGCGTAAAAATAGTCCAGGTAGCCATGATTAGCTGTTCAGGAGTCTTATGGCTTGGGGGTAGAAGCTGTTGAGAAGTCTTTTGGACCTAGACTTGGCACTCCGGTACCGCTTGCCGTGCGGTAGCAGAGAGAACAGTCTATGACTAGGGTGGCTGGAGTCTTTGACAGTTTTGAGGGCCTTCCTCTGACACCGCCTGGTATAGAGGTCCTGGATGGCAGGAAGCTTGGCCCCAGTGATGTACTGGGCCGTACGCACTACCCTCTGTAGTGCCTTGCGGTCGGAGGCCAAGCAGTTGCCATACCAGGCGGTGATGCAACCAGTCAGGATGCTCTCGATGGTGCAGCTGTAGAATTCTTTGAGGATCTGAGGACCCATGCCAAATCTTTTCAGTCTCCTGAGGGGGAATAGGCTTTGTCGTGCCCTCTTCACGACTGTCTTGGTGTGTTTGGACCATGATAGTTTTGGTGATGTACATGTAAAATGTATGTAAATGTAACAGAAAAGCTGTAAAAACCAAAAAAGATGTGTCCTCCGAAGAGGGGGGTGGTGGATGGGTACATACAAATACACATGATAACACACTCACTTTACACACACGTACACATGGATTTTGTATTGTAGATACACTATATATACAAAAGTATGTGGACCCTTCAAATTAGTGGATTTGGCTATTTCAGCCACACCCGTTGCTGACAGGTGTATAAAATTGAGCACACAGCCATGAAATCTAAATAGACAAACATTGGCAGTAGAATGGCCTTACTGAAGAGCTCAGTGACTTTCAACATGGCACCGTCATAGGATGCCACCTTTTCCAACAAGTCAGTTCGTCACATTTCTGCCTTGCTAGAGCTGCCTTGGTCAACTGTAAGTGCTGTTATTGTGAAGTGGAAACGTCTAGGAGCAACAATGGCTCAGCCGCAAAGTGGTAGGCCACACAAGCTCATAGAACAAGACCGCCGAGTGCTGAAGCGCGTAACACTTCAAAATCTTCTGTCCTCGGTTGCAACACTCACTACCGAGTTCCAAACTGCCTCTGGAAGCAACGTAAGCACAATAACTGTTCTTCGGGAGCTTCATGAAATGGGTTTCCATGGTCAAGGAGCCGCACACAAGCCTAAGATCACCATGGTGTAAAGCTCACCGCCATTGGACTCTGGAGCAGTGGAAACGTGTTCTCTGGAGTGATGAATCACGCTTCTCCATCTGGCAGTCCAACAGACGAATCTGGGTTTGGCGGACGCCAGGAGAACGCTACATGCCCGAATGCATAGTGCCAACTGTAATGTTTGGTGGAGGAGGAATAATGGTCTGGGGCTGTTTTTCATGGTTCTGGCTAGGCCCCTTAGTTCCAGTGAAGGGAAATCTTAACACTACAGTATACAATGACATTCTAGACGATTCTATGCTTCCAACTTTGTGGCAACAGTTTGGGGAAGGCCCTTTCCTGTTTCAGCATGACAATAACTTGACTGGCCTGCACAGAGCCCTGACCTAAACCCCATCGAACACCTTTGGGATGAATTGGAACGCCGACTGCAAGCCAAGCCTAGTCGCCCAACATCAGTGCCCGACCTCACTAAACTGTACGCAGTGTAGTACTTTCCACCAAAAGTTTTACTTGTAAAGATGGAAGCGTCAGGAATAGCCCTACTGTATTCGCAGTGCTGTTGATTCTGCAACACTTTAACATAAAATAGCTGTCACTTCCCTACTGTGTTACATCCCTATTGCTCACTGTCCCAGTCTACTGCTACTGTAGAATTTCCTCTCCGCCTCCACTCCCATGGAGTCATACGATGGTGCACGTGTGTTTTTTGTCTTTTTTGTTTTTAGGGGGGGGGGGGTCCATGTTTGTTTGGATGTGTGTCTCTGTATGTGTTTATTTGCTGCTGATTAACTCCTAGCCTTGGCTACACACGCCCCACTAAGCATTACCATCAACATTACATTTGCATGAAGAGCAGCGTTTTAACAAAGCCTCTTTTGAATAAGGCCCACGCACTCATGGGAAGGCATTGAGGCAACTGCTCTGTCACTTCTTGGGAGCTGGATTGCTATTTACTTGTTGTAGTCCACAGATCTATTTTGTTGATTGTTTTGGTGAAAGGGAGTGATCAGGCATGACTCATCGCTGTGTGTTTTTCCTTTGAGACTCCGGGATCAGCACACAGGATGATTGGAATCAGAGAGCGTGTGTGTGCGTAGCCTATAGATGTGCAGCCTTTTTTTGTGATACATTTTTTAGAAATGTTTTATTTATTTTCTGTGAATGAACAACCCCCTTTGTTTTCCTCCAGTCTGTCTAATGTATGATTCAATATGAGCTTCAGCTTGTATGTTTTTCATGCTGACCACGCAGCAGAATGTGGAATGTGCAGGTGAAATGCAGTGGACTGTGTTGGCATTAGGACAAAACGCATTAGCGAATGAAATAAGTGATGTTCAAAGCTCGAAGGGGTGCTAAAGAGCTCAAGTTTAATTGGATTTAATTGGGCAAGAGCAAGACTAGATAATCAAACAGAAAGCACCCTCTACTGAGATAGCTTAGTTCCAGCTGTCAGCAATCATACACAGCTAGTATACGCATCATCATCATCATCATCATCATCATCATCATCAGCAGCAGCACACTAACTCATTGTTTAGTTTTAGCCCGCCATTCTATTATCTCAGAGGTTTAGATTGACATTTGTATTTGTATTTATTAGGGATCCACATTAGCTGCTGCCAAGGCCACCATTACCTATCTACAATACAAAATGTTTAATACCACCATACGTGTGCGTATGCATGTGTCTATACCCTTGTGTGTCTCTTCACAGTCCCTGTTGTTCCATAAGGTGTAATTTTATCAGTTTTAAAAAAAAATCTTATTCTACTGCTTGCATCAGTTACCTGATGTGGAATAGAGTTCCATGTAGTCATGGCTCTATGGTAGTACTGTGCGCCTCCCATAGTCTGTTCTGGACTTGGGGACTGTGAAGAGACCTCTGGTGGCATGTCTTGTGGGGTATGCATGGGTTTCGGTACATTCAGCTTGTCAATACCTCTTACAAAAATAAGCAGTGATGAAGTCAATCTCTCTTCCACTATCATAAACAAATGATAAACAGTATTTATTCTTCTATTTAATGTGTAATCATTTCTCTCCTTCATCTCCTTCCAAAAGGGATTGTACCGTAATCAAAACCATAGTGAATTCTCTGTCATGAATGACTTAACCTGTTTTTTAGATCATAGCCCAACCCTGCAGAGCCCCACGGTACAGTTCAGGGTTAGTTATAAGCTGCATGTCAGTCCATGATGACCAGATGCAACTTGGTGTAAATTAGTTATTGCTTGAGACAGATCTTTCTTCTCTTTAGTCATAGCGACTGCTCTTTCTACCCAGCATGAGATGGGGCTGTGTAGAAGAGGGTTTGTCCTTTTTTTGTCTTGCTGAGAGCCCTTGAGGCGGGCTGAATGCCTGAAGAGGGTCCCACAGGTACCCTGACCCATTCACTCCTCAAGGTTTCCATCCATCCACAGTTATATGCAGTAAAGTCATACCGTATAAAAAAAATCACGACAGCTGTGATGGAAACAGGACATTTCAGTACAATTTTATAAATGCCAACAGATAATTTGTTTGTTCGACATGATGGGATCTAAAATGAATTATGCGAGAAATGGCAGCGAAACGTCTTTATGCAGAAAGATTGATATAAAAACCCATCATATCGAGGTAAACTTGGAATCACGCGATGATATGGTGGGTGGTCCTCCCACTACGACTCAGGAAACCATGCTGTCGATTAGGCTACAGATGAAATAAGTTATGATGAACTTCACAGGGTGGTGAAAGTGCAGGGTGATGAGCTTGATGCTCCATTCCAATAAATATTGAGGGTCTTATTCTGGTGATATGTTGATCAATGCTTGACTGCTGTTTGACAAATAAAGATATTCTCGCTCTTATCCATAATAATCTCATCATGTAGACTAGCCTACCCACACAGCCTTCCTACACTGTATCTGCCAGCTGTTGGCTAAAGCACATAGTCACCAAATCCAGAAAAGAGTCAAGAAAGTGTACAGTATTATATAGAGCCATTTTTGCATGGAACTACCTTCCATCTCATATTGCTCAAATGAACAGCAAACCTGGTTTAAAAAAATAGATAAAGCAACACCTCACGGCACAACGCCTCTCCCCTATTTTACCTAGATATTTTGTGTGTATGTACTGATATGTAGGCTGTGTGTACTGTTTTTAAATGTATGTAGTTATGTCCTTGAGCTGTTCTTGTCTATTAATGTTCTGTATTATGTCATGTTTCATGTTCTGTGTGGACCCCAGGAAAAGTAGCTGCGGCTTTCGCAGCAGCTAATGGGGATCCTAATAAAATACAAAAAATACCAAATGCCAAGACCAGAGTAGGCACATTTGCTATTTAACGTAACAGTTTTTTGGTAGAGTTGAAAATGCAATGGAAACACATTGAACTTTAGATTTGTATTCAGTACATTAAAACTTAAGTGAAAACGTATATTTTGTGTGCACTGTCATCATACACTGATTTCTATCTGCAACAAGTCAGTTTGGTGGAAACACCACTGGTGGTAAAATGCGCATATTTTCTTTATGCAGATTTTAGATATTTCGCATTAAAAACTGTCGCCAATTGGATGGAAACCTAGCTTGTGATGAGAACCTGGCAGAAAGAGGCCCTGCTAGGGTGAGTATTATCATACCTGGCCTGTAGGCTGTGTGATCCAGGCAGCCACCGTCTCCAGCCTTGGACCAGATGTCCCTAGAGTGCTCCAGTTTGTGGTCCAGACACTACCGTGCTGCCCTGCCCCCAGAACATGCCAAACATGTTAGTAGAATTAAAATATGAAAGGCCTAGATAGCTTTGAACTGTGGAGGATGGGGGCTAGGCTATCCCATTCCATTCAACCTGACTGGAGTAGCTGTGTTCTGTTCACCACGGACGGGGGGAAGGATCTGGTTAACCAGGGCAGGGATTGTGATGGGAGTTATGGGTAGCAGATGGATTGATGGAAGAAACCACTCAGGGGGAACCTGCAGGATGTCATGCGTGAAACCACAGAATGTCATGGCTAATACAATCCTGCCATCAGAAGAGTCTCTAACCAAATAGAGCAGTTCCACCATTACAGCATTACAGTTAGGCTGTTACAGAACCTAAAGGCTGGATAATCAAATAGAAAAGAATCAAAGTATGTGACCGTATGCTGACTGTGCTCTCCTGTTCTTTCAGCTCAGGGATGTGTGTGTGTAAGACGGGAGTGTACGGGCCCAAGTGTGACGAGTGCCACCCAGGCTTCTTCCGTTTTAGCAGCACGGGGTGCCAACCCTGCCAGTGCAACAACCTTACTAACTACTGCCACCCGCAATCTGGTGAGTCATCCACTACACCACACCTTCTATCTACGAACCACAACCACAACAATCACACTTTCTTGTTTCTGCTACACATTAATCCTGTTTGTGTCCATCCCCACAGCTGTGTATTGTTGTGTGAGTGGACACTAAATGATATTGAGAGGCTTGGAGGGGGTAAAGTTGGATGGAATTGTAGAACCCATCTGTTTGCCATTGTGATACACAGCCAGATGGCACAGTCATCTTTCCTGGGATCAATGGAGGAATTCTGTATATTTACTTCCTTAGCTCAGGTCTGATATCAACTAGAATGACCCTCTCAGTCAGCCAGGAAGCGTTACATGAGAAACATGAGCGTACATAAAACAAATATTAACAGACTCTCTGTCTCTTCCAGATTAACATGGCATTAACCTGTTCCATTTCCAGAATACTGGAAAATCAAGCTGATTGTTCCTACCTCTATAGGGTGATTGTTTTTAGATAGGAGTGATAGGGGTGTTCTCTATCGAGAAGGACAGAGAAAACAGAGACAGAGAGGACGTCTGCAATGTCCCACTATACAGAATAATTTCATATCCCTTCTTGGTTCCTATTCCACAGAAAACACTCAACAACTCCATTACTATATAATTACCAATGAAATAGTCAATTTTAATGTAAGTATAAAAACAGTATATTAATACAATAGTGTTAGAGTAATTACAGCGTTACTAAACAGGTGTAGAGTAACAGAAGAAGTTCTCCATCCAGCCCAGGCAGAGTAAAGACCCAAGAACAGGTAACTCAACAACCTGAGGCTCAAATTCAAATCAACAGGATAGCAGTATTTGCTGCTCTAACGTGTACAAACAAAACCACCATAGGGTTTAGGTGTGGTCAACAAATGGCATGTACCATATTTCCCACAGTTTAGAGACATGCCCCAAGGTTCTGTTTTCAAAACATGTGTTGGCATAACTTTTAACAATCATTTTCCCTCCTTTTCCACACAGGCGTCTGTCTGAACTGCCAGGGCAACACTCAAGGACCCAACTGTGAGGAATGCAAGCCCAGATTCTACCGCAGCTCTGGTGCTGCCACCACCGATGCCTGTGCCGCCTGCCTCTGCTCCAACACCACCTCCACTGGCACCTGTCACACCGGTGAGTAGCCACTAACCCCTGCCTCAGTAGTGCCCTTCTTAGTTAGGTCACCTTATTAGAACCCTTGCCAGTCTGGTTGCTACTACTAGGCTGGTGTACCTGTCATCATGTCTTGGTGTGCTCTGCCTGGCAGAGAGGGAGTGACCACAGAAGGTAGTGGCCCAGGAGTACTCTTAATGTTCCAACAGCAAAACACTATTGACAGTCACTGCCTGGGATGAAGGCTCTAATCCCCATTACCAGGGGCGCAACTTTGGTTTTAGAAGTGGGGGGGACATTTATTTTTCTTATCCGGTCGGATAAACACTCCAAACAGCCTACCTGACCGCTTGGAGGCGTCTGCATGGTCCTAAAGCACACCATTGCCTCGTTTTGTATCACATTCCAATGATAAAACTGGGGGGGACAAAAATGCAATTTCAGAATGTTAGGCCCACCTCCCCAGTGAAAGTTGCGCCCCCGCCCATTACTATAGCCTCATCCGCAAGGATACTTCTAATCTTTCACAGATAATTGCAATTTACTTGGGATGATTTGTTAAAGAATCAATATCTGGACCCTCTTGTTGATGATGTTTAATCCCACCTATCTGTCTTGTCCCTGCTGGTCAAGTTATGCTTCGTCACCGAGCATGGGTCTGCTCACATCAACTTCATCACAAATGTCTGTCACAGTGTATGTCTGTGCTCATGTAGACACGTATTTGATATTAAAAATGAAATGGCAAAAATGTAGATTTCCGCCTAAATAGACATACCCAAAAGTAACTGCTATTCATGTGTAATTACATGACTCTGACATGCAAAAACTTGGAAAGAAGACATCTGGGAGATGATGAGGAAATGATCAGAAGATAGATAGGAGTTACATAGTTCAGAATACACAAGATCAAGCACACACAAAATAAATAAAAATCTATTTTGAAAGTGATCTTTCATTGACAAGCTATAAGTATTTGATTGATTGCTAGAGCTGGAAACACATCAGATGGTTTCCACAACATGTGAACAATATCAGAAAAAATAATGGGATTGATAGACCTAACAACTAGAAATGGGAAGATGTTTTAGTAAGTGGTGTCAGCTGTGGTCACGGGATGTTTCCAAGTGTCCCAAAACTTCTCCAAAGTGGAATATGTCTGTAAATTAGATAATTCCAGTGCTATTACATACAGTGGGGAGAACAAGTATTTGATAACCTGCAAAATCGGCAGTGTTTCCTACTTACAAAGCATGTAGAGGTCTGTAATTTTTATCATAGGTACACTTCAACTGTGAGAGACGGAATCTAAAACAAAAATCCAGAAAATCACATTGTATGATTTTTAAGTAATTAATTTGCATTTTATTGCATGACATAAGTATTTGATCACCTACCAACCAGTAAGAATTCCGGCTCTCACAGACCTGTTAGTTTTTCTTTAAGAAGCCCTCCTGTTCTCCACTCATTACCTGTATTAACTGCACCTGTTTGAACTCGTTACCTGTATAAAGACACCTGTCCACACACTCAATCAAACAGACTCCAACCTCTCCACAATGGCCAAGACCAGAGAGCTGTGTAAGGACATCAGGGATAAAATTGTAGACCTGCACAAGGCTGGGATGGGCTACAGGACAATAGGCAAGCAGCTTGGTGAGAAGGCAACAACTGTTGGCGCAATTATTAGAAAATGGAAGAAGTTCAAGATGACGGTCAATCACCCTCGGTCTGGGGCTCCATGCAAGATCTCACCTCGTGGGGCATCAATGATCATGAGGAAGGTGAGGGATCAGCCCAGAACTACACGGCAGGACCTGGTCAATGACCTGAAGAGAGCTGGGACCACAGTCTCAAAGAAAACCATTAGTAACACACTACGCCGTCATGGATTAAAATCCTGCAGCGCACGCAAGGTCCCCCTGCTCAAGCCAGCGCATGTCCAGGCCCGTCTGAAGTTTGCCAATGACCATCTGGATGATCCAGAGGAGGAATGGGAGAAGGTCATGTGGTCTGATGAGACAAAAATAGAGCTTTTTGGTCTAAACTCCACTCGCCGTGTTTGGAGGAAGAAGAAGGATGAGTACAACCCCAAGAACACCATCCCAACCGTGAAGCATGGAGGTGGAAACATCATTCTTTGGGGATGCTTTTCTGCAAAGGGGACAGGACGACTGCACCGTATTGAGTGGAGGATGGATGGGGCCATGTATCGCGAGATCTTGGCCAACAACCTCCTTCCCTCAGTAAGAGCATTGAAGATGGGTCGTGGCTGGGTCTTTCAGCATGACAACGACCCGGAACACACAGCCAGGGCAACTAAGGAGTGGCTCCGTAAGAAGCATCTCAAGGTCCTGGAGTGGCCTAGCCAGTCTCCAGACCTGAACCCAATAGAAAATCTTTGGAGGGAGCTGAAAGTCCGTATTGCCCAGTGACAGCCCCAAAACCTGAAGGATCTGGAGAAGGTCTGTATGGAGGAGTGGGCCAAAATCCCTGCTGCAGTGTGTGCAAACCTGGTCAAGACCTACAGGAAACATATGATCTCTGTAATTGCAAACAAAGGTTTCTGTACTAAATATTAAGTTCTGCTTTTCTGATGTATCAAATATTTATGTCATGCAATAAAATGCTAATGAATTACTTAAAAATCATACAATGTGATTTTCTGGATTTTTGTTTTAGATTCCGTCTCTCACAGTTGAAGTGTACCTATGATAAAAATTACAGACCTCTACATGCTTTGTAAGTAGGAAAACCTGCAAAATCGGCAGTGTATCAAATACTTGTTCTCCCCACTGTATTTGCAATCCCTAAATGTTATTTGTTCAGTATAGAAACACAATTTCTACCATATCAACCTCTCTAAAACATTGTGGTGGTGTTATGGGGGATCGAGGGTACATTCAAGTGTCCTTTCAACCTCTCCAAAGTGTCCGAATGTGGCAATTGCACTGTTTTTGCACACTGGATGTGCCTAAAAGTTATTGTTCACTAAAAAAACTAAATGTCTACAACACCAACCTCGCTACGACATCGTGGTGGTGTCGGGGGTCATACAGGGGATATGGATGCCTAACCAGGCATCATATTTTTGATGGCCAAAGATATAGTCACTTGGTGGACATTCGATGTTGCCATTAAGTCATACATCCTCAGATAACATTGGCAATAGGCTAGATTTGTTCCTACCAATCTAAGGATTAATTTGACACCCCCATGTAGCGATAGCTCAAACACAGACCAAATCGAAGCTTACCTTGTAAGATGTTTGCTGTTATGTGAAAACGTTGGTTAATTAAACATTTTGACTCAGGGTTGGTGATCAATAACGGTAGGTCACAGGCAGACAAATAACATATCCTCATGATCTGTGGAGTCCCTGCTTTCGGTGTGTATCAATGTATTCCGTGTTTATTTCATTTATGCTTCACAACGCTAACCGGAATGTAGGTAGCAGCCATTTTGAAATGAGGTCATCGGCTCGGCCTGCCCTTATAAATCTGTATGCCCATATATGGTAGTAAGTCATACCAAAGATTTGAAGGCACCGATCAATAGCCAAGATACTCAGCTTTCCACAGACACCCTGCTTTGCAGATAGAGGCTACCGTTCTCATACCAGACTGAATTGATTTTTAAAATTGTATAGGGTCCTCAAATATGGGGACCTTACATTTATTAGGTTTTAAGCATGTTTTAACCAAGCAAGCCAGCATTAGTTTGTACCCATACTAAACTGATACCTCAGCAGCTGAGGCCTGAGCCTTGGCGACACAGACATACATAGAGTCTGTCTGTCATTTTCTCTCACCTCCTCCCTACCTCTTATCTGACCAATCAGCTGCAGGCATGTGACTGCTGACAGCCTCCCATTGGGTCCCAGCAGCCTGGCAACAGCCATGTGGAGAGGGTTCTGAGGCCTTTCAGGTTGTTTGCCCAGCCAGGGCTGAGTGCCGAGTGGGGCTGAACTGAGCAGCTACATCACTGCACTGGGAGGGGAAGGGACATACACACACCACATGATCCCCCTACTGCTGCCTTGTGAAGTCAATGGAGTGTGGTGCCCACCCCCCTCGGTTATGCTGCTGCCGGACTAGCTTGCTGTGAAGTGGCCCAGCTGTGCCCATGATGTTCAGTGTGCTCTATGTTCAACTCAAACTCGGCCTGGTGTGGGTGTGTGTGCGTGGGGGGTGGAGAGGGAGAACTGGAGTGAAAATGAAGTGTAGGCCTGTCAGTGGCTGAGCTGGCTGTATTGCAGTAGACAGGGAGGATGGTAAAGGTATTGGGTAAATATCCAGGTCAGGTTGTACAGTATCAGTATGTGAAGGTTTGCCCCCCAGCCTTCACCGTGCTGACTGGGTCATGTTCTCTCCTGGTGATATAACACATAGGCTCACTCTGACTGCAGCGTTTCCACTGCCAACAGCCTGGGGTTAAAACAGACCAATCAGACACTGCCTATAGATAAGAGGTGTTAGCACTCTTACACTTTATTGGTCTAACTCTTGTCTAGGATTTTAATTGTGGCTTTAAAGGTGTGTCTGTTGTGGGCACAAATATTGTTCCCGTAAGTCTGAAAGAGTTAGATATGATCTTGAGCAGACTAAAGCCTGCAGCACAAATATTAGGTACCATTAAATGTGTGGCTATTTTCTCGATTACCTTGTTTAGTAGGAGGGGATCAACACTTATGCTAATGACATGCAGCAAGCCTAATTACTATGCTCAATAATATTTGGTGTCAGAGCTCCTGGCCCTTAATGGATGTGACAACAGCAACAGGGGATATATCACAGTTAGTGAAGCCATTGGGAGAGAAGGAAGGACACTGTAAAGTAGCATCATATTACTAAGGACCAGAGGCTGGAGGAGAAAGCTGACCTGGAGGAGGATGACTCCTGATAATGAGGAGTGATGATGATGCTCTGATACAAGGGAGCAGTCTTTTAAAACGGTTGAACTGAATTTGATTCCTGGCTGTAGAGATGTGTGTCTGTAAGTCTCTTTGGATAAAAGCGTCTGCTAAATGGCATATTATTATTATTATTATTATTATTATTATTATTATATTATCGTTGAATCTTTTCTCCGAATCTTTTGGGGTAGTTTTAAAATGTCTCTGATTCTTCAACAGAAACAATCGTATTATTAGCTAGGATAGTCCCATATGTAGCCTGGTAGACTATTAGACACTGCCATAGGGCTTACCCTCCGTGTTGTCTAGTATTAGAAACCAATCTCTTTGGCATTCTGGTGCCACCTAGTGGTCTCTTTTATGATTTATGACTGACATGTAATTAGTGTGTGTTTTTGTTTCTCTAGACTCTGATGGGTTCCCAGTGTGTGACCAGTGCCTGTCTGAGTACAGCGGTCAGCAGTGTGACCGGTGCAAGGCTGGCTTCTACAGTGCCAATGGTGTGTGTGTCCCCTGCGACTGCAGTGGGAACGCAGACCCTACGGGCCCGGCCCAGCTCTGCCACCCTGACACTGGCCACTGCCTGAGCTGCACCATCAACACCACAGGGCCTCAATGCCAGCTCTGTGCCCCCGGCTTCACAGGGGTAGCCCGTGCCCACAACTGCACCCGCCCAGGTAAGGGTTATCCAATAATTTGGTGCAAAGGAGTATTAGTAGTTGTGAAGTTATTGAATGAGCCATGAGTAGTTCAATTAATTCCCATTCACATTGTGAATCATTTGTTTTCTATCAGCACAGATCATTCTTAACCCAGAGCCTGCTACAACAACAGAGACCCCTAAAACTACCACTACAACCCCTGCTCCAACCCCCAGCAGCAAGGGCCTGACTACCACAGTGCCCACCAGTGCTCCCCCCTCCACCACCTCCACCACCAACTCCAGCACCCTACTGAGCGTAGCCACCACCCAGGCCCTGCTCACCAGCCTGGGCAGTCCTACAGGCAATACCACGACCGCCCTCACAGAGGTCTCCTGGACCCAGTTCAACATCATCGTCCTGGCCGTCATCATCCTGGTAGTGGTGCTGCTGCTGGGCTTCGTGGGAGGCGTGTACACCTACAGAGAGTACCAGAATCGCAAGCTCAATGCTCCCTTCTGGACCATCGAGCTGAAGGAGGACAACATCAGCTTCAGCAGTTACCATGACAGCATTCCCAACGCTGACGTGTCTGGCCTGCTGGAAGACGAGGCCAACGAGGTGGCGCCCAACGGCCAGCTGGCCCTCACCACCCAGGGCAACTGCTACAAGGCCTAGCCCACAGGGCAGACAGACAGCACACTGCGGACAGACTGGACACACACAGAGAGGCTTCTGGCCTGGCTGCTTGCCTCACAGGACAGAGACATGAAATGGATAAAGACTTTCAAAGCTGCTGGACACCAAACCCAAAGCTCAATGCGTAACCCAACTCCTTCTACCCAGCTCCTCTCTCCTTCTGTGGAGCAGAAGGACACCAACAGACTGACACAGATGGTTGCAAATAAAAAAGGAATGGTATGTTTCTGTTTGTTTTGTCCTGAAGTTTGGGCTCCATTTCAGATTTTAGTGATTCACATAAAAGAAGAAGTCAATGAAGGCTCCAAAGAAGAGTAGACTTTTTCAATTCAGTTGTGCCTGCAGAGGGCACTATTGCAGATGTGGATGGTTGTGGTAATGGGGCGTTTGTCCATGCAAGAGTAGAGGACCATGGGGAATCTCAATTGCATACTCCACACACGTCATCGCTACTCGCCTCCTTCTCAAAACCGATTGGATGAGAACGAAAGTCAGAGGTCCCTCCCCTCTGAAGGAGGCGAGGAGAGAGAACACGAGGAGTATGCAATTGAGATTCTTCCCATGTCTCTGTTGGCACACTGTTCCTTATGCAGCTCTGTTGGCACACTGTTCCTTATGCAGCTCTGTTGGCACACTGTTCCTTATGCAGCTCTGTTGGACATCAGACTACACTAGGAACCATAACATTTTAGAACCTTTTAAAATGAACTAAAATGAACTAACAGTTTAAGTTATAACTTGAACAGAGATCTAGTCTAGACGATGATTGTTATTTCATTTATTTTTATTCATTTCTTATTTATTTTCAAGTTTTCTTTTTGGGTTAAATGTTGCGCATGTAAGATGTGTTTTTCATGGTGTTTTAACTTGTGTGCTATATTGAATGCAAATCGAAAAGGGCAAAATGTTTTCATGTGTATGTCTTTTTTGTGAGAGATATTAGGAAATGTGAAGGCTGCTGGCTTAATGACATCCTCTTTTGTTTTCAGTTGTATCCTGTATAAAGAATTTCCAGGTCCTTTCCTTGAGTATTAACGAAGGGTGTTTAGATGATAAAACAAGCATACATTGTATCCTCTCTCTACTCACTACTGTTCACTGCAGGGCAGTACATCCCATTGCTCATTATGATCATCACTTTGACTTATTTACTGATGGTGTGCTACTCTGCTGGTTTGAGAAATGCCTACCTCAATGGAAGTTGCTGAACAAATTATTGCAAAAAGAAAAGTAGTACTAGTCCATTTAGTAATCCACTTCTAGGACAAAATGATGCCAGCCACAATTTCTTATGTAAGTCTTATCAGTACAAAATACAAAAAGATCTTGGTGATGTGTTGCTGGCAGCATCACCATTAATCCCGCTCAAGTGTTTTTATGTTGTTTATAAACTACAATTGATATCCTGGATTTGTTTCTGGAAAAAGTATAATGAGTGGGTTAAGCTAGTAAGGGAACTCACTCCTCAGGGAATGCCTCTTTCCCCAGTGTGATCACTGTAAATAAGAGTAGGACATTGTACAGATGAATGTGAATAGGATCATTATTATTGTACAGGTAGAGTGCAGTTTACACTCAGAACAGTCAGTACCCTTACACTGAAAGACTCAAATATGGGCTTGGCACAGTCCACACAGGAAATGAACTATCAATAGACCTACCCTCTGTATTGTGTTGCAGGATATGCTACATGCCATCATCCCTAACTACTGTTTTCAATTAAATAATTAATGGAAAAAACTGTAAATACTACAAACTGATCATTTCACACACAATGCTAAATAAAATTGGGTTTATTGGTTAGTCTGTAACTGTGTTTAACTCCTTTATATTTGCATGTTTACCCTACCTGGAGTTTTCTTTTGTTATATTGTTTTTACAGTGGCAACATTTCTGTGAATGGAAGGCTTAACGACATCAACAAAATAATGGTTGCCAACCGTTTGAGTCCCTCACCAGTTCTAATGAAGTGTAGCGTAATTTCAACAGGGAAGACTGGGCTGATTTGTTTTAATTTGTTTGTTATTGCATAATGTCATACTCTTTGCTTCCTTTTTCTGGGCATACGTGGCAACATGGTAAAATGTTTTCATGTGTACATGGCCTTGTACTGTGTAACATAGCTCCCCCTCAGCCACTGCTGGGACCCCAGGAGCTCTGGAACAACGGAGGGGTGCCCTGTCAGTGCCAACCTGGGCAGCCAAGCAGCAGCCGGCAGCAGTGTTCATTTTGGTAGCTATTTTAGTTTTACTCTTAGGTTTTAGTCTTAGTCACATTTTAGTAATTTCATCCTTTGTTAGTTTTAGTTACTATCAGTCGACTAAAACTCTGGACAATTTTAGTCACATAATAGTCAGTGCATTTCTTTCTATTAAATAATGAATATTTAGGCTACCTCTATCTCACATTCAGATAGCCTTGTCCAGCTAGGCCTACTGTCCCTTCGTATACCTTCTCTGGCTGGCAACATCGATATTGTGGCAGATTGTTACCAATGCCAGCCATAATTAACCTAAAGCCTTGGCTACAGGTTAAACAATGTACAGTTCTGATTTCCTCCCCATCATAATATCATAAATAACAATGGTTTCCCAAAATGCCAGAAGTATTACTGTACTCTAATATTCAACAAACAGCATTTGTTTTTCTCAGGAAAAAAGAAACCACTCGCATTTGCGGACCGCTGCACAAACACAGATGAATGAATAACAGCACACATGGGAAAATAGAGCTTCTGATGTGATCAAAGCAAAATTATAAGCTGGATGGTTCGAGCCCTGAATGCTGATTGGCTGGCAGCTGTGGTATATCAGACCATTTACCACAGGTATGACAAAACATTTATTTTTACTGCTCTAATTACGTTGGTAACCAGTTTATAATAGCAATAAGGCACCTCAGTGGTTTGTGGTATATGGCCAATATACCACAAACCCTCTGGCCTTGTTGCTTAAATAGCCTACATGAAAATAAGAGTGAGAGTAAAGATTATTGTTTCTAGTTGAGGTTAGTTACAGGTCAAGTATCCTGGCACCTGGCTTCGCATCAGTTCAAAAGATTGACAAGTGACTGGAGTGACCACCGGGGAGCGATTGGAGAAGATGGCGGGAAAGGAATTAAGGAAGAAAGTGGAGCATATTCTGAATAACATGGAGTGGGGGATTACAGGCCTTCTGAAAGATCTGGTAAAGGAGAAGATGATGGACAAGAAGAAAAGGAGAACAATGGAAATGGTTATGAGGGAATATGGAATGAGGGATTTCACTGAACTTTTGGAAGAACTTGAGGAAATGGAGAGTGACGAGAGTGAGGATGAGTTAGATGTGGTGGCAGGTGCAGTGATGACTGTTGAGAAGAAGTTGAGTGTAGTGGGAAGCAGTGTGGCGAGGAAGGTTGGCGTCAAGTGCAAAAAGAGGGATATGTGTTCCAGTAGCTCAGAGATGGAACCTGACGAGTGTGGATGAAGTTCCTGCAGTGAGGACCGCCTCGGTCGGGCCTCGGTCCGAGGATGATTATGGCCCAGTGGGAGGAAGATTTGTGGAGAGAATGCATCCTTGCATTTTGGCTGATCCATATGTAGGTTGGGTGGAGAAGAGGTTGGGGACTGTTGAGTTGGTGAAAGTAACTAGGAGTGGACTAGTGATGATTTATTGTGTTTGTTCAGCCCAGAGGGAGCGGGCACTCTTGATCACGCAATTTGGGAAAATAAATGTGACTTGCTTTGCTCTCCGGAGCAGGGGACCATTGAAAGGAGTGATAACGGGGTTGGCATTAAATGTTGAGGAAGATTGCCGTTTGGTGCGACACAGATCCGGTGGAGATTGTGGGGAAACAGAGAAGTCTGTTCTGTTGAGTTTTGATGTAGAGTCTGGGCATGTTGCAGCAGTATGTAGGAGAGTCCTAGATGTGAGAAGGGTGCAGGAGGTTGTGTGTGTTAGTTGTGGGGGTGCCCATGGGGCTGGAGATCAGAGGTGTCCGGTGAGAGAAAGGCAGGTTTAGGTTGCTAGGGTCAGAGTAGTACAGAAAGTGTTATATGCTGAAGCAGTGAAGAGAGTGGTAGAGGAAGATGGGTACAGGGTGAGGGATCCTGAGAGGATTCCTGTGAGTAGGCAGAGACTAATAGAGAGTGATGGGAAGAATATGTGCTTCAGTAAGGTAGGTTTATTGGCATTTATAGCTATGGTTGTTAATTGTATTGCAGAAATGGATCAAAAGTCACAGAAAACAGAGGTTGTGGTGGCAACGGCAGAGAAATACTTGGGATTGCGAGGTTTTACTGCAGAACAGTTGCAGGGGGGGGGTGAGTGGTAGTGTTCTGTCCTCCCAGACAATTGGTCTGGAGTAGGATTTGATAGGTTCAATAGTGGAATGTGGTGTTTATTTATTTATATTTTGAGAGGGCTAATAGTTGGCAGGGTAATTTTTTATTTTCCCAGATTTTATAGTACCACATCACAAATAATTTAATGTAGGTAGGCCGTGAATGGCCTCACACTCCAGTGCAGTAGGTGACGGTGTATGCACCTTAAATGGGATACGATCCACCAACACAACCCAGAAGAAGAAGAAGAAGAAAGTGACCACCTGGGAGCTGTGTGGGAGGAGATCCGGGCAGATCAGGTCAATCAGACCGCGCAACTGAAAGATGTAAATTATGCAAACAAACACTTTTCATCTGTTTTGTCCAATCCTAAACATGAATTCATGCAGAATATTTCATGGAATCCTCTCACTCCAAGTATGGGTAACTGCATACTTGGAGTGTGTCTGAAAGTGGGTGTTGCAAAAGAAGTGGGTGGCTCAATAGCTATGGGCGTAACATCAATGGGTGGATCAACAGCTATGGGTGTAACATCAGCGCTCCATTATTGTTTAGACAGGCCATATCCAGGTGCACCGCAGGTCAGCTTAATGTTTACATAGCAGGTTAAGAGAACTAACATAACAGGTTAGAAAAATGAACGTAGCAGGTTAGAAGAATGAGGTTAAGGTTAGGAAAAGGGTTAGGCTTAGCTAAAATGCTACAGTTGTCAACAATCAACTCGTCGTGCAGCCCAATCAGCCATGCAAAATGGTCTTGAGTGGCAACAAATCTGCCCAATAGCTGATTCGCTTTCCATACAGCCACTTCTGTTGATCCTCCCACTTCTGTTGACACGCCCACTTTCAGATACACTCCATTTATGCAGTTACCTATGACTCTCTCATAGGCAGAATTTACATCTTTCAGTTCTGTGGTCTCCCACACATTTCCAGGCGGTCACTTCCGTTACTCGTCAGTTGTTTGAACTGAAGCAAAGCAAGGTGCCAGGACATGAAAACAATTGCGGGGTACAGTCGGCTGTCAACATTTTAGATGTTTTCTTATTTTCACACTTAAATCTAGACATTTGCATAATAAGTTGTTGCAGTGCTGCAGACATCTGCCCAAAGTGCTGGACTCTGATGACTATTGCCATCCATATCCTGGACAGAGCCCTTCGAGATGTCTTTGGTTTCCGGCACTGCCTGTGGGAGTACTCGGGCAGGAGAGGGGTGCATTGCTGGGTGTGAGACGACTACATTTTCTTCATATCATGCTTCTTTAGATGTTAATTAACGGTCAATTACGTGAGACCGACAGTTATTTGCTTGACAATCACCGGCGAGGCCGCCCGGAAGCTCTCTGTGGCGGCGCGCTCCGCTGTGTCTGAGTACCTGAGTCTGGTCAAGGATGGAAAAGAGACGGTGAGGAAAGTAGTCCTGTCAGACCCAATTCATCCATTCATCAAAGAATCCCTGACGGTGGTGGAGCACTACTTTCCCCAGTACTCTCTAGTGCGACAGGAGCAGCAAAGAGGTTGCAGACAAAGTGCTGGCCCTCATGCCCGAAGATGTCAGAAAGGAGCTGCTGCAGTGCTTACAGACTGAGAAAAACCCTGAGAAGCGCTGGGGCAGACTTAAGACTCTGGTCCAAAACAAACGTACAGTACGACTGCCAAGGGCCACTACTTTGAGAAGGAGGTCATGTTGCAGTACTTTTACCCTCGGCTCGATGTGAACATCAGTAAAGGAGTCAACCACTTGCTGAAGAACCCCTTCAGCGTCCATCCCAAAACTGGGCGGATTTCTGTTCCTATTGACCTGGGAGAACTGGATCGCTTTGATGCCTTTGATGTGCCCACTATCAGTCTGATCTGTGAGGAGTTGTATCGGCCCAAGACAGCAGAGGAGGAAGAGGAGGAGGAGGACACCAAGGAGAATGAGAATGAGAGAGAAGCAGGAGAGCGACGGAAGATAAGAGACTACAAACGAACAAGCTTGGCGAAGTATGTGAAACTGTTTGATCAATTCCTGGAAGGGATGGCTCGCTCAAGGAAAGGGGAGCATCTTAAAAAGAGTGATCTTCAAAAGGACTTCTAACCCTGAGCAGTGTCCAACTGAACCCTGTCTGTTGCTGGGATTGGTACCTAAAATGGTTGGCTAATCTTAAACAAGCACATCATATCAGTTGTTCATAATCTGACAGTTAAAGATGGAGAACACACAGTTGTGTAAAACTTTTATATAGCCTATTGTTTTCTATTTAAAATGACTTTGTACTAATACACAAAAAAAAAGTGCCAGGACACTTGACTTGTAACTAGCCTCAACTAGAAACAATAACCTTTACTGTCTCTTGCTTTCATGGATGCGTTTTGCTTTGATCACATCAGAAGCTCTATTTTCCCATGTGCGCTGTTATTCTTTCATCTGTGTTGCCGCTCTTGTGCCGCAGTCTGCATGTCATGTCAAATTAAATGTCCATTAGTCTCACGTGGATTTCTCATCTCGTCACATTTTCGTTGACTAAAATGAAAATTTATTTGTAATAGTTATCAGTTTTTTCAAGGCCAACTACTCACAATGGGACTGCCCTTCGCAATGTGTACGTATGGCAGTTGCCTCTGAGCCCATGTCCTTCGAGCTGTTCGTGCAACCACATCTACACTCGGTGCCCTGTGTTGGAGGTGAAAAGCAAGCTGAGGAGAGCAACTGGCAACCGTGGTCAAGGCTGGTGTGGTGATACTGATGATTTCTCGGAACTGATGGCTTGATTGGCTTCTACGGTTGTGGCTAGATGGAGTACAGCTACAGACATAAGTGACTTTGTAGCAGGTTAGGAGAACTAACGCAGCAGATTAGGAGAATGAATGTAGCAGGTTAGGAAAATGATGTTAAGGTTAGGAAAGGGGTTAGGTTGGGCTTAGCTAAAATGCTACAGTTGTCCCTGACACAACAACTCAACAACTAGATGAAGCTGTACTACATCTAGCCACAACCGTAGAAACCATCAGTTCATGGAGAAACCATCAGTATCACCACACCGGTCCTTCCAGCCTGGCAAGGTTAACGGCACTAGGTTGACGGAATATTTGGACGTGTGGTTTGCACACATTTCTTTTTGCGCAACCGCGAGTGAATGTCATGCCAGTTTATGTGTTATGTTGTGTTATGACAATAGAGCATGTCCACTACCAGTTATGGTCAAAGAGCTGTAACTCGAATCCATTGTTGTTGAATCACGATATTTGCTACAACATCTTGCTTGGTAAGGGTATGGCTAGGTTCCCATTAGCTCTCGAGAACCCAAGGGGGGTATACCCAGTTTGCAGCCGGCCACCCTTTTGGGTTATCAGCTGATGGGAGGGACCACAGCTGGCTCAATGTGAACTACAATCCCGACACTGCCTGGTTTCCTCCAGATGTGACGCTTGGCATTCAGGACAAAGAGTTCAATCTTGGTTTCATCAGACCAGAGAATCTTGTTTCTCATGGTCTGAGAGTCCTTTAGGTGCAATTGGCAAACTCCAAGCGGGCTGTCATGTGCCTTTTACTGAGGAGTGGCTTCCATCTGGCCACTCTACCATAAAGGCGTGATTGGTGGAGTGCTGCAGAGATGGTTGTCCTTCTGGAAGGTTCTCCCATCTCCCCAGAGGAACTGGAGCTCTGTCAGAGTGACCATCAGGTTCTTGGCATTAACTGACTTCAGTGGGCAAATTCTCACTTTTGATAGGCACTGGCACGCTGGAGAAGGGTGCTCTTCACGGATTAATCCTGGTTTCAGCTGTACCAGGCAGATGGCAGACAGCGTGTATGGTGTCGTGTGGGCGAGCGACATTTCAATGTTGTGTACAGAGTGCCCCATGGTGGCTGTGGGGTTATGGTATGGGCAGGCATAAGCTACGGACAACGAACACAATTGCATTTGATCAATGGCAATTTGAATGTACAGAGAAACCGTGACGAGATCCTGAGGCCCATTGTCGTGCCATTCATCCGCCACCATCACCTCATGTTTCAGCATGTTAATGCACGGCCCCATGTCGCAAGGATCTGTACACAATTCCTGGATGTTGAAAATGTCCCAGTTCTTCCATGGCCTGCATACTCACCAGACATGTCACCCATTGAGCATGTTTGGGATGCTCTGGATCGACATGTGCAACAGCGTGTTCCAGTTCCCGCCCATCTCCAGCAACTTCACACAGCCATTGAAGAGGAGTGGGACAACATTCCACAGGCTACAATCAACAGCCTGATCAACTCTATGCGAAGGAGATGTGTCGTGCTGCATGAGGCAAATGGTGGTAATACCAGATACTGACTGGTTTTCTGATCCACGGCCCTACCTTTTTTTCCCAGTCATGTGAAATCCATAGATTAGGGCCTAATGAATTTATTTCAATTGACTGATTTCCTTATGATCTGTAACTCAGTAAAATCTTTGAAATTGTTGCATGTTGCGTTCATATTTTTGTTCAGTGTAGAATCCGCTATTAAAGACTACCAGAACCCACTGGATTCTCCAATTACATTGGATGAGCTACAGGACAAAATACAAACCCTCCAACCAAAAAAGGCCTGTGGTGTTGGTGGGATAGTAAATGAAATAATAAAATATACAGACCACAAATTCAAATGGGGTATTCTTAAACTCATTTTCCACAGATCACCCCAATCCACAAAAGTGGAGATGAATTTGACCCCAATATTTACAGAGGAATCTGCGTGAACAGCAATCTCTGAAAAATCCTCTGCATTATCATCAACAGCAGACTCCAACATTTCCTCAGTGAAAACAATGTCCTGAGCAAATGTCAAATAACGAACACAAACAGAGCCCCAGGACAGTAACACAATTAGACCCAACTAAATTATGAGAAAGCAAAAATATAACTATTTGACACTGGAAAGAATCAACCAAAACACTTAGCGAATTGGAATGCTCTCTGGCACTAAACAGGGAGTACACAGTAGCAGAATACCTGACCACTGTGACAAAATTAAGAAAATCCTTGCCTATGTACAGACTAAGTGAGCATAGCCTTGCTATTGAGAGAGGCCACCATAGGAAGACCTGGCTCTCGAGAGAAGACAGGCTATGTGCACACTGTCCACAAAATGAGGTGGAAACTGAGCTGCACTTCCCAATCTCCTGCCAAATGTATGACCACCTTAGGGATACATATTTCCCACAGATCACACAGACCCACAAAGAATTTGAAAACAAATCAAACATTGATAAACTCCCATATCTGTTAGGCGAAATACCGCAGTGTGCAATCACAGCAGCAAGATTTGTGGCCCGTTGCCATGAGAAAAGGGCAACCATTGCAGCACAAACAACATTGTAAATACCACCAATATTTATCTGTTTATTTATCTTCCCCTGCTATTTGTACTACAACTACACTATATATACAAAAGTATATGGAAACCCCTTCAAATTAGTGGATTCAGCTATTTCAGCCACACCCGTTACTGATAGGTGTATAAAATCGAGCACACAGCCATGCAATCTCCATAAATAAACATTGGCAGTAGAATAGCCTTACTGAAGAGCTCAGTGACTTTCAACGTGGCACCGTCATAGGATGCCACCTTTCCAACAAGTCAGTTCGTTAAATTTCTGCCCTGCTAGAGCTGTCCCGATCAACTGTAAGTGCTGTTATTGTGAAGTGGAAACTTCTAGGAGCAATAACGGCTCAGCCGCAAAGTGGTAGGCCACACAACCTCACAGAACAGCACCGCAGAGTGCTGAAGAGCGTAGAACGTAAAAATCGTCTGTCTTCGGTTGCAACACTCACTACAGAGTTCCAAACTGCCTCTGGAAGTAACGTCAGCACAAGAACTGTTCGTCGGGAGCTTCATGAAATGGGTTTCCATGGCCAAGCAGCTGCACACAAGCCTAAGATCACCATGCGCAATGCCAAGTGTCGGCTGGAGCAGTTGAAATGAATTCTCTGAATCGCGTTTCACCATCTGGCAGTCCAATGGACAAATCTGGGTTTGGCGGATGCCAGGAGAAGGCTCCCTGCCCGAATGCATAGTGCCAGGAATAATGGTCTTGGGCTGTTTTTCATGGTTCGGGCTAGGCCCCTTAGCTCCAGTGAAGGGAAATTTTAACGCTACAGCATACAATGACATTCTAGACGATTCTGTGCTTCCAACTTTGTGGCAACAGTTTGGAGAAGGCCCTTTCCTGTTTCAGCAGGACAATGCCCCCATGCACAAAGCAAGGTCCATACAGAAATGGTTTGATCGGTGAGGAAGAACTTGACTAGCCTGCACAGAGCCCTGACCTCAACCCCTTCAAACACCTTTGGGATTAATTGGAACGCCAATTGCAAGCCAGGCCTAATCACCCAACATCAGTGCCCAACCTCACTAATGATCTTGTGGTCGAATGGAAGCAAGTCCCCGCAGAAATGTTCCAACATCTAGTGGAAAGCCTTCCCAGAAGAGTGGAGGATGTTATAGCAGCAAAGGGGGGACCAACTCCATATTAATGCCCATGATTTTGGAATGAGATATTTCAAACCTTTCTGAGTGCAATGTTTACTGTTAATTTCTAATCGTTTTTTGTTTTTATTGTTTTTTCTCCTCACTTTTGTTTATTGTTTATTTTACTTGTTTTTGGCAATGTAAACACGTTTCCCATGCCAATAAAGCCCCTTTGAATTGAGAGAGAGAGAGAGAGAGAGAGAGAGAGAGAGAGAGAGAGAGAGAGAGAGAGAGAGAGAGAGAGAGAGAGAGAGAGAGAGAGAGAGAGAGAGAGAGAGAGAGAGAGACTTGTATTGAATATTATTTTAAGTGATTTTTAAGGTTTTCCTAATATTAATAATTCAATACAATACCTGAATGTATAAACTTGCCTTTATGACAGCTGAACATTTGTATTTATTATGAAAAATAAGATACTTCCACCCAACCTTTTTATGAGATTATGATAACAACCATATGATTTCCCTATCTAAAACAAATCAATCAATGTAAATTATACATAATATACTAATTTACCTCAAAAATATGGGTGTGGTGGAAATGACAAGGTGTGGTGGAAATGACATCTATGTAAAAAAAAAAGTAACATATGA